AGGTCTGAGCTATATACAGGCAAAATATTATTATAATAGAAGCATTTCTCACAAAAGGAGAATATTTTGAAAATGGGTCATTCTATGTTCATTTTTCGTCAAAATATTGTACTTAAATAATTTTTTATTGTAATACAATTCTTAAAACAATTTTATATACATTTTCTAATATAAGTGACACTAAATATCATAAATATTATCGATTTACACGCTTTTGCAAAATCACGGTTCCTAAAGTAGTCGGATACCTTAATGCTACAGTATGATTATATTTGACTAATAAAATTGAAATTAGTCAAATATCCCGAGAGCTGTCTTTCAAAATTTATAAATACTTCAACGGGACTTTATTCTAAAGATTATAATACTTAGTTTTATATCTTGAGTTATCAATGTGCTACAGCAGTGGTCTTCAAAATTTTTCAACTCACGGAACCCTTACAACCATAAGGTGTTTTCGGGGAATCCCATTTCACACGCTCAAAACACAACATTCAGAAAATATCTCAAAATAATATTTAAAGTAGATCAATATATTATAAGTATTTTATCACTGGCGTAGCTAGTCCTGAGTGGACCCCGTATCAAAATTTCTTGTACACTCTTTTTGGGGGCCTTTAATACATTAACAAGTTTTTCCTCATATATGTTAAGACACCTGTAGCTTAGGGACTCCGTATCATTGATACGGTAGTATCTATGCCCCTGTATTTTATGTAAAAACAATTTTGAAAAATTTGCGGGACTCTACCGAAACTCTCTCTCAGCCTAATGTAGCTGAGTTTCGGTAGAGTCCCGAAAATCCAGCCTAATTTTTGTGAAATTGCCAGGTTATCGAGAATAGAATTAAAAACTAATAAATACGAGGGCTTCTTCAGAAAATATTCTATGCCCTTGTTTGTATTATTTGACTAATACAACAGAAAATAAACTGCCCAAATGCCCTTAAACAAAGAAAAAGCACATCCTTTATCAAGGCACATAGAGCATTTAAAACATGAAAATTAATTAATACATAGTACACAGTAATTTACCTGATTTGACAACACCTTCGAAAAATAAATATAAAGGTATAAAGATGTCCATAAAGAAAATTGAACAACTGACTATGTAAAAACTGGCTACTTTTTTTAAAGAAATGCACCTGGAGGGGAGGGAGGGGGTTCAATCTGGCCGAGTTATCTGGACTGCTGGGTTATCGAATCCCGATTTTTTGAGACTTTACTGTATTTTTTACTAAAAACTACTAATGCAATTTTAATATAATTTATCAATAATATTAATTTGTAATCCAAGTGACACCTATCCAAGCATTATAGTTAGTTACTGGGATATGCGCTTGTATTTTTTCCACACAAGCTGTCAAAGTCGTCTACGTCCAATAAAATTAACAGCATTTGCCTTTTATTTTTTTTTTTTTTTTTTTTTGTAATTATTCATGTTGAGAAATATTTTTTTACTTAAATACATTGTTCTGAATGACATTAAAAAGTTTATAGCTGTATGAGAAATCGGATGCATTTTGCAAGAATTTTCAATCTAAAATTTAGGAGAGAGAGAGCTGTTCTTTCTTAAGTCTAGATTATAACATTGAATCTATAAATATGTGAATAAGTTGTTCCCTCTCCATTATAAATGGATCTTCCATT